TGTTCCCGCTACACAGCGTCCTCCAAGAGGTGTGGACCCCCAGACCCTTGGAATTTGAGCCACCACACCCAGGGCCCTGTCCTGGGGGCTTGGAGGTCGATGTGGTATCACCCCGGGGAGTCTGTGAGCCCCGGTCTCCAGGGGATGGGGACCTTGGGGGGCACACTTCCTCAGGCACTCTGTGTCAGGAGCTCTCCTCACCCAGGCGGAGCCGCCGGCAGGACGTCCGGCATGGGAACCCCATCAGGCAGTGCCGCGGTTTCAACTCCAATGGTGAGTGAATGGCACCCCACGTGGGCCCCCGAGCTGCTCACAGGGCCCCAGTGGAAGGAGTCTCACGTGATCCACGGGGGTGAAGAGGCTTGGGGTTTTGGAGATGGGATGTCCCTAGCCACCCCCACAAGGAGTGGATGCCCGATGATGGCTCAGCCCTGCCTTTGTGGAGGGTGTTTCTGCACGGGCTCCCCAGTGCCAGCCCCTCCCCGGCCGCCCTCTGCCCGGAGGCCCTGCTGCTTCAGTGCAGCGCCCTCTCGTTCCCCAGCCAACAAGAACGCCGTGGAGTCGGTGCAGTACGGCGTGGCAGGCAGTGCCGCCTTCCTGGAGTGCCAGCCCCGCTCACCCCAGGCCACCGTTAAGTGGCTGTTCCAGCGAGATCCCAGTGACCGGCGCCGGGAGGTGATTTCCTGTGCCCGACAGCGCCGCCCCCCCACCCCCCGCCCCGTGGGTGCGGGAGTCCTCCATGTAGAAATTCCACATGGGTGAAGTGCTGACAGGGGCCAACCCAAGCCCCCTTCCCTACGAGGAAGCCGCCTAGTCATCTGGGGACCCTGCGGGGTTTCCATGTTACATGGAGCCATGTATGGGCATGCCTCTGTGCAGGGAAGCTCCACGCGTGCTTCGGTGGGAAGTGTGCCTCGCAGGAAAACCTCCTGGGGGTGGGCCCAGCATATGGCAGCTCTGTGGGGTAGCCCTCATGTTGTGGAAATGCCTTCCAGGCCTCCCGCGGAGTTTCCTTCCGCGGAAATGTTCTGTGCGGCCCCAGCTGAGCGCTCTCATTAAACAGAAATCCTCTGAGTGCGCTCCAAGATCTCTCGCGGTCCAGCATCCCCTAACGGTCGCCCCTCCTGAGATGGAAACTGTACGGATGCCTCATTCAGGTGTCACGTGAAACCTCCACATGGGTTTTCCTGGTCTATGGAAACTCCACACGGGGGCCCCTCCAGGGAGCGGCCGCAAAGGTGGCCTGACCTGGGAGCTGGCTGGGGCAGCAGGGTGGCCGCACCGCCCCTGAGCCCCCCTCCCTGCCCCTGCAGATCCGCGCGGAGGACCGCTTTCTGCGCACCGAGCAGGGCCTGCTGCTTCGCGCCCTGCAGCTCGCCGACCGCGGCCTGTACTCCTGCACAGCCACGGAGAACAACTTCAAACACGTCGTCACGCGGGTGCAGCTGCACGTGCTGGGCCAGGACGCTGTCCACGCCGCCCTCTTCCCACCACCGGCCGTGAGCGCCCCGCCGCCCGCAGGTGTTGGCCCCCCAACTCCCTCATACCAGGAGCTGGCCCAGCTGCTGGCCCAGCCGGAAGTGGGCCTCATCCACCAGTACTGCCAGGGCTACTGGCACCACGTGCCCCCCAGCCCGAGGGAGGCCCCGGGGGCACCCAGGCCTCCTGACCCCCAGGACCAGAAAAAGCCCCGGAACCGCCGCCATCACCCGCCGGACACATGAGGCCAGCTGTCTGAGCCTGGCCATGGGCCAGCCTGTCCCTTGTCCCTTTTAATATAAAAGATATATAGATATATATATATATAAAAATATCTATATTCTATACACACCCTGCCCCTGCAAAGACAGTATTTATTGGTGGGTTGTACAGAGCTGCCTCTGCGGCAGCGTCGTCCAGAACTCAGACCCGTGCTGGTCAGAGACAGCAGGAAACAGAGGCCACCCAATCGGGCCCAGCCAGCGGGTAGGGCCCAGCCAGGACCGCACAGGCCCCCGCCTCAGCTGGGGGTCCACCTGCCCAACAACCACTGCTGGGACCCACAGGACACAAGGAGGGAGCCCGCCCCCCACCCAGACAGGCGCGGGCTGCACACATTTGCCAGCGAGTGCTGTCGACCTGAGCCGCCCCGCGGACTGAGAACTGCTTCGGAAACTGGGGGTGGGCGGGGGGCTCAGATGCACTCGGAGAGGGAGGGAAGGAGGGACCGGCATGGGGTACCCGCCCCTGCCTGGGAGGGGAGCACTCAATCAAGGCCAGCCCCTTCCCCGGTATTTATTCTCTATTTATTGGGGACTAGAGAAGAGGAGCCCTGCATGGGCGGCCCACCCCTCCCCCCTCCCTGCCTGGCCATTCTACCTCCTCGCTTTGTCTGTGCCATTGACTCAGGGGCTGGGAGAGCAGCAGAGAGGCTGGGCGCAAGCAGGGCAGAGGGCCGAGGGGGCCACGGTGGAGGCTTGGGGCCTATGGGGCGACCCGGGCTCCCTTCTGCCCACCACTTCAGATGATGGGTGTAAATAGCTCAGGGGGGCCGCTGGGGAGATGGGTGGGGGCTCCTGGCGGCCCTCTGCTGCCCAGGCCACCGCCACCCTTGGGTTCCATCTTGTTAATAAACACTGGCTCTGGGACTGGACTTTGGCTTTTCTCCTTGGTAGGGGAAGAAGTATGGGGGTTCAGCCCACGCCCAGATTCTGCCCCCCCTGCCCTGCACCCTCACCCTGGGTGGCCTGGCCACTGGTTCCCACATGCTCTCTCCTGGAGGCCAGCTTCTACTCGCTCATTCGATTGCTGGCTCAACACCTCGCCTGGCTTTCTGTCCCGCCTGTGCCGGCACTAGGGACTCGGAGTTGGCAAGACAGTGCCACAGCCCCCACAGTCTGGCTTCCCCATCCTTCCCGCCTGCATCAGTGGCTCTCAGCGAGGGTCCCACAGGAGCAGATGAGCAGAAGCGGGGAGAGTGGACAGGTGAGGCACTGAGGGAGGGGAGACAGTGGGGCTGCGTGCCCCGGCTGGGAAGGCCCATGGACCCACAGGGCTTAGGGCCGTGCCTGGTGACAAGGGACCAGGTGGGCACTAGGAGACAGTGGATTACCCCCACTTTACGTAAACTCCATGTGCAGAAACCAGGGTTCTGTCGGTTTAACAAACCTTGGCTCCTGTACCACCCCCGAACCTCGGGGCAGTGAGTGTCTAAAGGGCTGCAGAGACCCCCCTGGGCCCCCTTTACAATGTGGGGGGTGGAGGATGGAACGTGGCTGAAAAGGGACAAATGATCTCTCGCTCCTGGTCAGAAACCCCCCTCCTACAACAGAGCAGAGTTGATGCTGAGGTGGGAGTCAGTATCCCCACCCACGTAGGGTCTGGGGCCCTGGCAACCCCTCGTGGTCTCTTGGATTGTGAACAGAACGGAGTGCTAAAAGGCAGAGTCCAAGCAGGAGGCTCGGCCCCCCGGAGGGAGCCCAGGGTTTGGCTCTGATGCGCGGTGGGAAATCTCCAGAACCCCGGACTGATGCTCCAGACTCCTCTGAGCCCCTGCCTCCCAGCTGCATGCCTGTCCCACCCGAACCCACGCACAGACCACAGTCCCCAAAGGTGGCAGGCTCAGAGGGACCAATAGGCAGGTTCCAGGGCACCTATGGTACAGAACAGGAGCCAAGCAGATGGGCCCCACCCCTCTGTTCCCCTTCCTGTGCCAGACCTGCTCTGGACTCAGTTTCCCCAGCCGACAGCAGGCCTGCAACACACTCCCCAGAAGAGCTTGGCCACCTCTGCAGGTCAGAGACTTTGTTGCACTCGAGTGCACATGCGCGAAAAGAGGCACAGTGGCCTGTGAACTGAAAGGTCACCAGTTCAGTTCCCTGTCAGGGCACGTGCCTGGATTGCAGCCAGATCCCCAGTTGGGGGCATGTGGGAGGCAACCACACATGGATGTTTCTCTCTTCTTTATCCCTCCCTTCCTCTCTCTCTGAAAATAAATTTTTAAATAAATAAATAAAGTCTTTTAAGAAAGGAAAACAGGAAAGAGCACACATACAGGTATACACATGCATAAATGTACACGCACAGGCACACAGACAAGTATGCGCTAACATGCATGCACATACATTTACACATTCATGCACATGTGTTCACCCAAGCACAAAGGAGTGTGCACAGGTACATCCATATGTGTACACCTGTACACAAACAGGTGTGCACAGGCATGCATGTGCACTCATAAAGGCACAGGAACGTGTATACACAAGTACAGATGGACAAACATGTATCCTGCCATTGCCTTACTTGGGGCCAGTTAAAGACAGACACACACCCCAGGCACCCAAACCCACTGGCACACAGCTTGCAGTGGCCCTGCCTGGGTCAGATGCAGCCCCCTCGAGTGGCGCAAATGCAACATCCACATTTGCCTGACTTCCTGAAGAACGTGGAGTCCAGGGAGTCAGTACGAGGGGGCCAAGGATGCGGGCGCCCTCCCCCAGGGCAGTCGTGAGCTCACAGGACAGGGAGCAGTGCCCAGCCCAGTGCTGGGCCCGGCGCAGGTGCTCAGTGCATCCTTCCCCCTCACTCCCTGCTGCCAGCCCCACCCCCGTGGCCCCCACCCTGTTGGCTCAGGCCTTTTCCTCCCCTTTCTGAGCCTGGAACCACCCCCCAGCCCTGTCTCCCTCCTCTCCAGGGCAGAGGCAGGAGACTGATGTATCTCTCCGTCCAGGGTGCCTCCTGGAGATTGGAGGAGGTGGTAGAGGGGGTGCAGAGTCAGCAGCTGAGGGATTGGGGCCACGCCAGCCCGCCCGATTAGAAGGGCTGGGGGCTGAGCTGGATTCACCTGTCCTTGTCTCTGATTGGCTCTTGGCTACCCCCAGCACCCAAATCCCACGAAGCAACCCCACCAGGGCCTGCACAGGTCTGGGGAGCCAGTCGATTGCCAGTTCTGGGGCCAGAAGAGTGTCCGGGGAGGCCAGAGGCTGGCCTGAGCCTGGCTCTGGAGATTCTGCCATTCAGAAGAGCCAGCTGACCCCGTTTCCTCACCTGCTGCTGGGGCCATGGGGGCTGGGGCCAGCGCGGAGGAGAAACACTCGCGGGAGCTAGAGAAGAAGCTGAAAGAAGATGCTGAGAAGGATGCCCGAACCGTGAAACTGCTGCTTTTGGGTAGGGGTGTGGGCCAAGGTGGGGCCACTGCCACAAAGCTAGAGGTCTGGGGGCAGGCAGGTGGCCCTTCTGTGGAGCAGGGATAACTTGGGAAGCACCGTCAGCCTGTGGCAGGGCGGGGAACAGAGACGGAGCCCTGGCTGGACAAGACTGGGCCTGACTGGTGGTGCCCTGGCTCCCCAGAGCTGGGCATGCCGTGGGACTCCTCTCCAGAGGGCCCGCCTCCAGCAGTCTCCCCTTCTGAGAAGTGTGTACCAGCCACTCTTATAGACGTGTGCTTATGGGCACATTTTTGCCCTGGCTGGGCTTGATGGCTCAGAAACCAGGAATTTCTGGGAACCCCACATTAGGGCTGCTCCCTTGGGGAAGAAGTCACAGTCCTCCTGAAAGTGGGCAGCGTCTAACGCCACCCAGGGCCACACAGGGACCCCCAGTTTTCAGAGCTTTATTGTGGGCAGGAGTGCAAAGCAGCTGCAGGGGAGGAAGGGACTAAGGCATGGAGGGGAACAGATGAAGCGTGCCCATGGTGCAGTGGCAGTGAGGGACATGGGGATCGAATCCAGCACCTCAAGGCCACTGCCACCCCCCAGGGGAAGAAGGAGCTGCTCTGAGAGGGGTGTAGGTTCTGCCTGGGCTCTCCAGGGACAGGGAAGACAGGGAGGCTAAGCCAGAAATCCCATTAACTGAGCCCTACACCCTTGAGAGAGCAGGCTTAGAGGGCCTGTCAGCTCCGTCTCTCCCCCACCAAGGGTGCTAATGCCCTCTGAGTCAGGGAGACACTCCCCACGCCAGCTGGAAAGCTGGGTCGACCCGGCTCAAATAACCCCGGGCATGCAGTCCCATATATCTTCACAAGGTGGCGCTCCAGGCTTTCTTTATTTTGGTCTCAGACTAAGAGAGAGGAAACCAGGACCCTGCAGGTCCCCCAGCGCAGCTGAGGTCGTTGATGCCCCTCTTCGGCATTCTTCCGTCACTCCTGACATTTACAAACTTTTTTACGCTAGTGTGTCAGGACCTAACTTTGGGGGAATGAGAGGAAACCAGGGGGAACCGAGGACTAGGCTGGCGCTCTGGGTCGGCCTAGCCATTGCCCAGGCCTGGTGGGCAGGGGACGGGAAGGAGGAGGAGGGAGGGGCGGTCTGCGCGGTTCTGAGGCCGGGCTTCCCTTCCAGGTGCCGGCGAGTCCGGGAAGAGCACCATTGTCAAGCAGATGAAGTGAGTGCCGGCGCCGGTGCCTAGGCCGCGAGGTGGGGGGAGGGGAGGCGTGCGCACTGGGCCAGTCCTTCCCCAACCGACCGCGAGGCGCTGAACCCCTCTCGCCCCGGCCGCAGGATTATCCACCAGGACGGGTACTCGCTGGAAGAGTGCCTCGAGTTCATCGCCATCATCTATGGCAACACGCTGCAGTCCATCCTGGCCATCGTGCGCGCCATGACCACGCTCAACATCCAGTACGGAGACTCCGCGCGCCAGGTGTGCCCGGAGGCGGGCTGAGCGCGGCGGAGCGGGGCTGCGCCGGAGGACTCCAGGTGCGGGGCCGGGCTCAGGTCCCGGGCCCCCACCAACCACTCCCACCCTGTCCCCAGGATGATGCCCGGAAGCTGATGCACATGGCGGACACCATCGAGGAGGGCACGATGCCCAAGGAGATGTCGGACATCATCCAGCGGCTGTGGAAGGACTCGGGTATCCAGGCCTGTTTCGAGCGCGCCTCTGAGTACCAGCTCAACGACTCCGCGGGCTAGTGAGCGCCGGGCGGGGCGCGGGGCGGGGCGGGCCCGGCCACGCCCCTGCACCCCACCCTCCCACCCACACCCCGGGCTCCCTCGCAGCTACCTCTCGGACCTGGAACGCCTGGTGACGCCGGGCTACGTGCCCACGGAGCAGGACGTGCTGCGCTCGCGTGTCAAGACCACCGGCATCATCGAGACGCAGTTCTCCTTCAAGGACCTCAACTTCCGGTACGACCTGGGGCCCCTGCCCGCAGGTTCATCGCCCCGAGGCCCAGTCCCCCTGAGAGACCCTGCCCCTTCCCAGACATCCCGCCCCCAGGAAGGCCCGGCCCCTCCAAATGCCGGTCCTGTCCGAGGGCGCCCCAGGCAAGGTGGCAGGCGAGGGGAGGCCTCCCGGCGTGACCAGGGGGCTGGATGCGCGGGTTCAGGCCCCACCAACCCCGCAGGATGTTTGATGTGGGCGGGCAGCGCTCAGAGCGCAAGAAGTGGATCCACTGCTTCGAGGGGGTGACCTGCATCATCTTCATCGCGGCGCTGAGCGCCTACGACATGGTGCTGGTGGAGGACGACGAAGTGGTGAGCGCGCAGCAGGACCCGCGCTGCGGGAGCCGGGCGCGACCGGGAAGGGACGTTCGTTGCAGAGCCGTCCGAAGAGAAGGGGCAGCCAGCAGCCCCGCGGGGAGGGTCCAGGGGAGGCTGGCCTGAAGCTGTAGGGGGGGGCGGCCGCTGCCCGAGTGCCCGCGTGCCGATGGTCTCTGCCCTCCGCAGAACCGCATGCACGAGAGCCTGCACCTGTTCAACAGCATCTGCAACCACCGCTACTTCGCCACCACGTCCATCGTGCTCTTCCTCAACAAGAAGGACGTGTTCTCCGAGAAGATAAAAAAGGCACATCTTAGCATCTGCTTCCCCGACTACGACGGTGAGAAAACGCCTCCCCGCCCCATCAACACACGCACACACACCGCCCCGCTGCTCCCCACCCCCAAGGACTTGAGGCGGGGAGTGAGAGCCCGCTTCCCCGCAGGGCCCAACACATACGAGGACGCGGGCAACTACATCAAGGTGCAGTTCCTGGAACTCAACATGCGGCGTGATGTGAAGGAGATCTACTCCCACATGACGTGCGCCACCGACACACAGAATGTCAAATTTGTCTTTGACGCTGTCACAGACATCATCATCAAGGAGAACCTCAAAGACTGCGGCCTCTTTTGAGGTGGGCGTCTCCCAGCTGCGAGGCCTCCCTGTAGCGACCCTTGGTCCCAATGCCCCAGCCCCACTTCACCACAGCCTACCCGCTCCACTGCCTCACCCGCAGCTTCCAGACCCTCTGCTTCCAGGCCCACCCTGCCTCCCCAGGCCCCACCCCACTGCCCTAGGCCCCTCCCCTGGCCCACAAGTCCCACCCACTTAGCCTGTTTGGACCAGGCCCCCATCCCCTCAGATGGCCCTGCTTCCAAATCCACTTCCACCATGTCTCTGAGCCTAAGCCCGAGGATTCTGGGGCTGGGGATGCTGACAAGGTTCCTTTTTCTTTTCCCAGGCTCCTGAACCCAGGCTTGTCCTGAGGCCCTGTAGCCTATCCACCCTGTAGCCTCAGCCAATAGCACCCAGTCGGCCCCCCAGGACTCGAGGGCCCAGCCTGTGGCCCCACCAGCCACAGAACCAAAACCCTGAGCCCCACTGGCTTTGAGTTCCCGACCCTCCCCCGAGCTCCCAGGCCTCCCCGAGCCAGGCGCCCCTAGCCCCGGAGCTTCCCTTCACCGCCTGGCCACGCTGGTCTCCAGGACCCACCACAGCCAGCCCCAGCTGGGAGCTGGCAGGACCTGGGGCAGCTAGAGCACACGGTGACTCAGCAGTGCCCGACTGACCAGCCTCCAGCAGCTCTCCGCCCCAGGGGCCCCATGACTCACCCAGTGGGTGGGTCTGGGCTCATCAAACAGCCCTCCCTCCCGGAGTTTCATGAAGGGCGGGGGGGGGGGTGGGGGGGTGGGGAGCAGGCCGGGATCCCTCCTCCAGGCAGGCCTGCTGCTTACAATCAGCCTGCTCCAGCCGTACCACCTCCATGTGACAAGTCGAACACCTGTCTACCCAGTAGCCAGTGACTGTCCCTCCCAGCAGCTGCAGGGGTCCAAAGTCTAAGCAGCTCTGGCCTGTGCACCTCTCACATAGGTGAATTAGTGAGTGGGGGCAGGCCTGGGGGCCCCTGGATGCCGGGGAGAGACTCAAGCCGGACCCTTCCCCCGCCCCCCGGGCCAGTCTCAGAGCGGCCCCCTTCCTCCAGAGGCTCTGCCCCCTCCATCCTTGGACGCCAGATCTTTGTCCCACCTCACCCACCGACCCAGAGTACTTCAGGCCAGTCAGCCAAGGGGACGGTCTGTTGAGGGAGGGTACTGTTGACACCAGTGATGGCCAATGGTTGAACTGTCCTGAGGGGTGGCTGGGGGCAGAGTCCAGCTCCCATTGATCAGCCCCAGGCAGGGATGGGGGACAGGATGGAGGCCCCAGGGGTCTACCTCAGGTAGGGTCAGGAGCAAACCCAGGTGACCCTTGTCCCTGCCAGCAGCTTCTCTTGCCCTTTCTATCCAGGGCCCACTCCCTGGCAGGAATGACTGAGGGACAAAGGCTTACGTCCCCTCATCCCCATCCCCTACTGCTCCTCTGTCACCCGGCACTGGCTGACATCAGTGGACAGGCACCCCCTCCAGTGCGGCCAGGGCAGGACTTGCAGTCCCCTCAGCTAGGTGCACCGACTTGGCAATAAACCTTTGCATCAGCCTCGCTGTCCCTGTCTTGGGGGGAGGAGGAGGGTTGATTGTCAGGAGTTGGAGTCGAGAGCATTTATGAAGTGCCCGGAGCTGGGCTGGACACCAGTGGGAAGGTGGTTCCTTCCAGGTTGAAGCTCCTGGCCTGACATGGAGGCAAGGGGGCACCCTCGGGAGCATGGGACAGACCTGTGCCTCCTGATCCCCATCAGGGGCAGAGGGACCCTGGGAGATGTTCGCAGGGGTGGTCTTGGATCAGGAGGGAGCTTGTTTGGTTTTGTTTTTTGAAGACTATGTTTAGAGAGAGAGGAGGGAAAGACATTCATGTGTGAGCGAAACATCAACAGGTTGCCTCTTGAACACCCCCAGCTGAGGACCTGGCCCACAACCCAGGCATGTGCCCTGACCAGGAATTGAACCAGCAACCTTTCGGTTCACAGGCCAATGCTTAATCCACTGAGCCACACCAGCCAGGGCAAGGGGGAGTTTTGAGATGAAAGCTCATTCTGGCTGGGGTAGTAGGTCGTATAAACCCCAGGAACAGGGGCCTGGGGGCCACAGGAATTCAGTAGAGCAGGAGCAAGGGAAGGGGGACATGGGGTGGGGAGACAGGGAAGTGCCAAATGCCAGCCCGGAGGCCTGGGCCGCCTCCTCAAGGCACCGGATCTCGGGAGCCTGGGAAGCAGGGACAGAACGGCCTGGCTGGAATCGGGCCGAGTGAAGCAAGTGAGGCGGCCCCTCCAATGCAGAATTTAAGGGTGGGCCAGACAGTGCAGTCGTCAAATGGTATACTAATCAATACTTTTAAAAATCAAAATGGCTGCAAAAAAATCCACGATGCACAAAATATCAAAATTCTACATAAAGACCAAATCTGAGAGAGTCCTTTGGTGCCGTATTGGTGCCACATTGGAGCCTGAGAAAAAGAAAAGTGTCCACTCTTATATATGGTTTTATGTATTTTAATACATAACTTTAGTTGCAAAAACATTGAAATAATTTATAGTATGTATATTAAAACTCAAAATATTACTTTAAGCTTAAATATTTTACTTATGCCTACAACAATTTATAATTTTCCTGACCTTAACGGAAATAAGATCATCAGTGATATTTTCCAAATCTGCTCCTGGAAAAAATAACCATCGGATTTTTTTAAATTTTATTTATTTATTTTTAGAGAGACGGGAAAGGAAGGAGAAAGAGAGTTAGAGAAGTATCCATGTGTGGCCACCTCTCACGTGGCCCCCACTGGGAACCTGGCCTGCAACCCAGGCACACGCCCCAGCAGGGAATCCAACCAGCAACCTTCTGAGCTACAGCAGTCCACTGAGCTACACCAGTCAGGGCTCATTGAAATTTTTCACAAAAACATGTACATAGGGGCACATGGGTTTCCAGGGGACTGGTGTGCATGGGCATGGGGGAGGGGAGAGTGGGCTGGGAGGATCCATGCGGAAGACATGTGCCCTTACCCCGAGGGGCCAGGGTCTGCAAGGAATGGGGCTTGGTGACAGGACTGGAGCTTGTCTGTTGACCGAGTGCATGTGACGCCCCCACCAAGCTGGGACTTCAGGAGAACACTGGAGGGGCTGAGTTGTCCCCAAGGCAGGTGGGTACTTGTCCAGGAGGCAGAAGTCAGCGCCTGGGCAGCATCCTCAATGTCTGGGGAGAATGGAGCTGTGAGCCTGTCGAATGAAGGGAGGGTAAGGGTTCCCAGACCTGAGCTGGTGGCGGGGTGGGGAGGGCCCTGGCTGGGTTAGGGAGCCCAGGACACCTGTGGGCAGCCACGCTGGTGCTGCTCAGAGGCCAGAGGAGAGGATGGGGCTTGGGCCAGTGGTTTAGGACCCCCACTGGGTGGTCTGGGGCCTGGCTGAGCTGGGGCTGCTCATCTCTGTCTGGAGTGAGCTGGGCAGGGGAGAGTGATGGCGGGATTTAATGTGGGGGAGGCGAGGAGGAAGACAGGAAGCTTTGAGGAGCTAGTGGGTTAAAGGAGAGGGAGCTGCCAAGGGAGGTGGGCAATCGGGGTCTTCCACATAGCCACCTTGTCACGGAAAGAAGGTAAAGAGCCCCCGAGCCTTCCCGGGCACGGGGCAGAGAGAAGCCCGACACCATCCAGAGGCTGGGTGTCACCCTCCGGAGAGTCCCCTCCCGGGCATGGTTCCACCCACAGAGTCCTGGATTCCACAGGCTGGGGACGAGGCCTGGACGCAGGCGGCCTTGGCCCCACTCGCCACACCAGGGTAGTCACACCCTACGGAGCAGCGTGGGCACCCAGTGCCTGGCTCACAGCCCACAGGGGAGGATCGGAGAGACTGGGCCCAGGGCTCCACCCCGGGACCGTAGGTGGGGGGCATTTACTGTAAGCACCGACGGCCACCACCCTCCCACCCGACCTGCAACCTCAAGGTGCCCCTGAGGGCCCTCGTGGCCTTCAGCCCTGGCTCTGGCGGGACTAACCTGGCCCGCCACTGACCAGAGATTAGACGAACCTGGCAGACAGTTAATGCCACTGACGTCAGGGCCCGATTGGGTGGCCGCCGGGGGCTTGGGCCCTCCCTTCAGGCAGGAGCTTGGCCCATGTGACCTGGGCTCATTAAGCCGCTTCAGTGGCCAGAGACGCTGGGGGCCAGATCTCAGGGGAGAGAGGGAAGGCTCGCCAAGGCGGTGGGGACAGGCCTCAGCCAAGAAGTCACCAGCTCTGGGGACTCAGGGGCAAAGCTGCAGAGGAGGGTCTCCTCTGGCCTCCCAGGTACTGTGCCAACTGCACCTCTGTGCTCACAGAGGAAGGTCCCAGACACCCAGTGGGGGCGGAGTGCAGCCAGGAGCTCAAGCTGGGTCCTCCACCCTGTGGCCTGGGAGGGGAGAGCCACCGTCCTGTGGGCCTAGAAACCCCCCAACACTGACGCCAGGCCCTGTCCTGCCCCCGCGGGCAGCCCCACATGCGTTGGTGCTCATCCCACACTCTCGCCCCAGCGTCCCTGTGGCCGCGCTGCTTCCTCCCTCGGAGCACCCTCGCTCCTCACGCCCGAGCCGGTGCCTCTCTGCCCTCAGCAGACACGAGCCCACAGGTTGCTCCTCCATCAGCCGTGTCCCCGGGCCTGGCGGGGGTTTCTCTGCCTGACCGGCCTGCAGGGAGCACTTGGAGACACCGGGGCCCAGCCTGCTGGGGGGCAGCAGAACAGCCACAGGAAGTATCGGAGGAGCTGGCTCTCCCCAGTGGCTCGGGCAGGGGGTTGAAGGACAAGTAGGAGTTGGCTCGGGAGGTGGGACAGTGTGGGAACTAGGAGGGCGAGGGTTTGGGGAAGTGAAGGCGGAATCCTGAGTGGCCTGCCGAGCGGAGAGGAAGGTGGCGAGCCTGCTGGGTAGAGGCTCAGGTGGGGAGGAGGATGTCGGGGAGGGCAGCTGGGTGCAAGGCAGGAGTCTGCAGGGCGTCCAAGGAGTTGGGGAGTCCCAACGCTGGGCTGGGGTGGGGAGGGCTGAGTGGGAGGCGAAGATGGGGCTTCCCTGGCAGGCAGGGTCTGGACGCACTGTGTGGCGGGCCTGCCAGGGGAGGTGGGGGAACCGGGGGAGGAGGCTGTCTAGCTGGAGGCTGAGAGCACAGGACCCAAGGAGGAGAAGGAGAGAAAGGAGCTGCAGGACCCTGGAAGGAGGGTCTGAGTGGTCCTGGGACCCTGCGTCCTGCCTCACGTGTCTGCCAGTCCCTTGGGCCTGCGCCTGTTTTCAGGGTTGGGGGAGTGACCGTGGGCCTGTGCTGAAGGCCGAGATGAAGCGATAGAGCTTCCTGCCAGCCTCCGCTCTAGGCGCTGCCCTCCACAAGGCAGCTGCAACGATGGACGTCCCCTCTCATCTCTGGGAGGCGGGGCCCGGCAGCTCTCAGAGCCCCAACCTGGCTGTCAGCTGTGTGGCCACCACAGGCTGGGCTGGGAGATTCGGCAGGTGGCGGGAAAGGCCTCGGAGCTGTGTTTGCCCTGGCCGGGGACCAGGCCCAGCATCAACAAACAGGCGGTCCCTCCCCCAGCCTGGCCACAACTGGCCTGGCCCAGGGACCCCACACAGCCATTCTGGACTGAGGACCTCAACCCCCACATACTGAGTGACCTTGAAGCCAGGCCTGACTCCATGAACTGCCAATGGAAGCCCCCAGGCCTTTGAGAATGGCTTCTGTGAGCATCCAGCGTGTCAGTACGAGAGAGGCAGGGGAAGGCCTGAGACCCGGGCAGCACCTCTCTCTCCTCTCTGACTGCCCCGTGGGAAGTCCCCAAGCCCTTTGGGAGGGTAAGAGTCTTGCGGTCCCTCATGGTCAAGGTTAGTTCTGATCTGGGGGCTAGACCAGCCCCAGGTCAGGAGGGAAAGCTGGTCCCTCCCACTTTGCATCCATCAGCAGGGCGAGAGCCTGGATGGTTTGGGGTTCGCCTTTCTCTGTGGCTCTTCCTGACCTCTGGCACTCCCAGGCAAAGCCGGGTCCCCTGCCCTTGGCTCACAGCTTCCCTTCTTCACCCACTCCCCTCAGGCCGTGGGACAGGGCAGAGCCATTTCCTGTGACACACAGGCAAACTGAGGTACCGCAGGCTTGGCTGTGGTGCTGTGAGTCAGTGGGAAGAGCGTCCCGGAGTCCTGACTCCTAGCCCAGGGCGGTGGAGGGGCGAGGCCTGTCCTTCTGGGCATCCCCCCAGCCCTGGGGAAGGGGGCAGACAGGACCCAGAGACACCCAGCTTGCCCAGGACTGGCAGGACTGTGGGATTAATCGGATCAGAGCCAGCGACTGAGCAGCAAGGATGCAGATGTTCCGGGAATCTCCCCCAACCCCCAGCTCACCCCCATGGTCAAGGCCTCCCCCAGCTCCCTGCTGGCTGGGCCTGGGGGGCCTTAACACCCACCACCCACCTCTGAGCACCAAAGTCTTGGGTGGGAAGCAGGTAGAGGTGGTACAGGGGCCCCCAACCGAAAACAGGGCACCCCAAAGCCCCTGGCTCCAGGACACCAAGTCCCAGGACCCACTCCCCATGGGCA